GGGGTCAATTTGATTATTATAAGGGAACACGGTTCAATCTGTTTATATTATATTGTTTTGATAAATGAACAAGTATTTTCTTTTTAAAATGTTTTTGTTTTCCCCTGTTTATTTATGATTCAAGGAATATCCTGTTTAATGATATACTGAAGAGTAGTATACTAATGTGAGTTACAATCTATGTCTTTAGCCAGTATTTAGATAAACTTAACCAGCCACCCTTTACACAAACCTTGTTACATTAGCTAAAAGTCCAATGCACATAAAGATACTAAATGAAAAGTAATCGTTTATAAACATTTACAAATGATGAATAGTTTCAATTGACTACTGCAAAAACATGAACAAATGATTAGTAAAGATGTGTAAATAGGGTAAATTCAGGTCTTTCGGGACACTTTTTTGCCATTGAGATGACTGTTCATAAAGGTATTAATGATTAGTAAACATTTATACACATTTGCTAATGATGAATAGTTTCCACTTTAGATTGGTAGTGCAAAAACATGAACAAATAATTAATAGATTATTTGTTATGATGTGTAAATAGAGGTCTGCACAACAAAGACCAACAAATGAAGATCATATGAACTGAAAGTTTGCTGACATTTGTAAGCATTTCAATTTACATTAAATAATCATATGTTAATCATTAGGTAATGGTTAGTAAGTTCATTAGTAAACATGAACAAGAACATTATCTCATATTTCTATCTATGTGAATGTATATATTAACTAATGATCTGTTAAGCATTATATAATGTCTGTTGATGATTTATAAATGAAAGTTATTATAAAGTGTTACCCTAAAGCATGTACAAGGATAGCAGTACTCTTTGTTGAGAGTACAGGATGGAGACGATTAATATTTCGTATTTGGAAAAATGCAGAACGAGTAACGTTAATATGAGCTTTAAATGTTAAAGTGCTGTCCAAGATGACACCCAGACTTTTAACCTGTTTAGATATAGAAACTAGAGAATTGTCAATTGTCATAGACCGACAACTTGACTTGGCCAGAGTGTTTTTTGAACCGACAAGAAGTATTTCTGTTTTATTACTGTTAAGTTTGAGAAAATTACATGAAAACCAGGTTTTTATTTCATCTAAAGACTGAACAAGAGAAGTCGGAGAAAAAACAATGGTAGGTTTTGAAGACGGATAAAGTTGGGTTTCATCAGCGTAACAATGAAATTGAACCCCATATTTCCTAAAAATAAAACCAATTGGTAAAAGATAAATGATAAACAAAAGAGGTCCCAGAACAGAGCCCGGCGGGACACCAGTGGTAACAGGTGTAGGATTTGATTTAAACTGCTTAAGTTTTACAAATTGGATATAGTCCGTAAAATAGGAACGAACAACACAGAGCTGTACCTGTGATTCCAATGGACTCCAGTCTACTTAACAGTATGGGGTGTGAGATGGTATTGAATGCTGCACTTAAGTCTAAAAGAATAAGTATTGATAAAAGACCTGAGTCTGCAGCTACTAATAAATCATTAGAAATCTTCACAAGTGCAGTCTCAACACTATGATACAGATTGAAACCTTGATTGAAACTGCTCATATAAACTATTAAGAGAGAGATGAACCTGGAGCTGGGATGCAACAGTCCTTTCAAGAATTTTTGACAGAAACGGTAAATTAGAAATAGGATAAAAATTCTCAATTATTTGAATCTGCCCCTGGTTTTTTGAGAATACGTCTTATTACAGCAGTTTTTAATACAGGAGGAACAGTACCAGAAAGAAGTGAGGCATGCATAATATCAGTGATTAAAGAAGAAAAAAACGGTAAACCAGCTTTAAGCAAGTAAGTTGGAATAGGATCTAATTGACAAGGTGCAGATTTGGATTTTCGTACAATAGAGACAATTTCCTCAGTAGTTGGCAGTTTAAAAGTAGAAAAAGTTAAGTGGAAAGATTGTGCAGAGCTAGGATAGATTTACTGACAATCTGGGTTTGGTACAAACATTTGCTGATGGATGTTTTCAATTCTTGTTAAAAAATGACATGCCTCACACAGTGCCATGGAGTATATATTAGGAGTAAAAGAATCTGGTGGATTTAAAATATTATTAACCACAGAAAAAAAAGATTTTGTATTTCCCACACCAGACCCAATTAAACTGGCATAATAATGCTGTAGAGAGAGCAACCTTATAGTTTTGCATGTGGTCAGCATATAACTCTTTATGCACTGTAAGTCCAGTCTTACACCGTGTCTACACCGGACGCGAGCGGCGCGACAATATACTATAGAACCCATTATAATCGGTGATGCTGTCTACACTGGATGCGGTGTGACACGACAAATCCCCGACAGTAAACTGCTGCCTCGTTCTATCTATGATGTACTGACACAAAAATTAAAAGATTTGAAACAGTCACTTTGTCGCGTCCAGTGTAGACAGACTTTAGCTGTTGCGGCGCGGCACGACAACTGTCGTATCCAGTGTAGACACGGTGTTTGTATATAAATGCTCCAGACGATGACCCTTGATTTACATCTGGAGCAGATCAAAAGTAAACCAAGGTGCAGAGCTGACAAACATAACAGTCCTGGTTTTCAAAGGAGCATAGGTATTGAGTCATTTGAAGATTCTCATTGTAATGCTGCACTAATTCCTCAATAGTCGATGGATAATCTTTGCTACAAAGTGTGGTAAACCCCTTCAGCAAAAAACTGAAATATCAATATTGCGAAATGTGATGGGACGTCTCAGATCAGTCTTACACACAGGTAAACAAACATTAAAAGATACTAGCAAATTATCTGAAATGATAAAGATTTTTAAGATTTTATTTTCAAAAATGAGGCATTTTCTTTATTACGATATCAGGACAGTTGCACCACCCTGACAATTTAGGCTTCATGCCCCCAAAAAATATCAAAATTAATTTTAATTCCGAAAATTAAAAACCTGCTCATCGTAAAAAGGTATATTCAGGTCATTGCATGTGTTAACTGCATTCTTTATGTATTTTTGAATAAACTATTACATCTGGAAAAAAAAAAAAAAGTAAGTGTCATGTCAAGGACCCATCTAACAGTTGCAGGTTTTGTTTTTCTGATTTCACATGAAGTCAAACACACTTGTGGTCTTTCTCATCAGCTCTACACGATTCACGTCATCCATTCTGGGACGTTTGACAAAACTCCCGCGGTCATCACACGGCGCTACACTGACTTCGAACGGCTACACAGCCGGTTGCGTCGCCGTCACGGAGACGAAATGAATGGCGTGTACTTCCCTCGCAAGAAGCTGCGCAAAAACTTCGCCGCCGAGACCATTGCTAAGCGCAGCCGGGCGTTTGAGCAGTACCTGACCCACCTTCACTCCCTTCTTGAACTACGGAGCACACCTACATTTCTTGAGTTCTTTTATCTGGGTGATCTGCGTGCGGGCCAGATGCTGATGCGAGTGGGCCGGTACCAAGACGCCCTAGGCTCTCTTCTCAATGCTCTGCGACTCCAGGAGAAGTTAGGATGCCATCAGCTCCTGCAGCTCAACCAGCTCCAGAGGGTTCATTGGTTCTTCACGCTCTCTGCCTTGGTCACCTGCTTTCAAGAACTAGAACAGCTCAGTGAGGCTCAGGAACACTGCGACCGAGCCCTGCAGGACCTAGCGCCTTCCCAGGAGGCTTTGCAGCAGCACCAGTTGCACCCTCTGCTCATCCCGCTCCTCCAATCCAACGTCAGGCTGTCCTGGAAGGTCTCGAAGGACAAGCGGCGCTGGGAAGCTCTTCTGCAGGAGATCCAGGAGCAGGGGATTGATATCGGGAATCAGCCGAACCTAAAGGAGTGTCTAATCAAAGAGAGCATCGAGGACAGCGAGGGGCTGGTCAGGGCTAAGGACAAAAATGAAGATGTCCCGTAAACATTCAGGATTTTTTTTTTTTTTTAATATGAGTATTAGGATTTTTGAGGGATGTTTCTGAAAGCAATATGTATGATAGATTACTAAGGAAACCTGTGGAATTAATACTAAGTAATATAATGCACAACTTGCCTATCACTTTAAAACTCACATACATTTCATTGGCACATTTCCGTAGCATTTATTATAGCCTATTTTTTTATTTGGTAACACTTTTTACTATATGATTCAATTCGTTAACATTACTTAAAGGAATAGTTCAGCCAAAAATGAAAAATTGCTGAAAATGTATTCGCCCTCAGGCCATCCAAGATGTAGATGAGTTTGTTTTTTCATCGGAACAGATTTGGTGAAATGTTGCATTGCATCACTTGCTCACCAGTTGATCCTCTGCAGTGAATGGGTGCCATCAGAATGAGAGTCCAAACAGCTGATAAAAACATCACAATAATCTACATGACTCCAGTCCATCGATTAATGTCTTGAGAAGTGTTTGTAAGAAAGTCCATAATAACACTTTCTCCAGTGAAAAAGTTAATTTCTGTTGTGTTCTCACATAAAATTCCAAAGCTATATTTGTTCAGAACTGTTTTGGACAGTTTTCACTTATAAAACTTACATTATGGTTTAAACGCCTTTGTGTTGGATTTGTTTATTACAAACACGCAGCTTTTCGCTTCACAAGATGTTAATTGATGGACTGGAGTCGTGTGGATTATTGTGTTGTTTGGACTCTCGTTGTGACGGGCATATTCACTGATAAATAATGTTACATTTCTCTCATCTTGAATGGCCTAAGGGTTAATACGTTTTCATTTTTGGGTGAACTATTCCTTTAATGCATTACATATTATGAACTAATACTTTTAACAGCAACAATAGTAAAAAAAAAAAAATAATTCACCTAGATTAATAAATGCTGTAAAGAATTATCATTTATTATTAGTTCATGATAGCTCTAGTGCATTAACTAATGTTAAAAAATTGAACTTGTAAATTGTTACCCTTCATTTTTGTATTCTATAAAATACTGAACTGGGTTTTGGTGTGACACAGAACGTTTGAACCACTTGATTCCTTATTTTCAGCTGTCATGAGTTGCAGCCCAGTTGTTTTGCGTCTTATGTTTAGTAGCCTTGAGTTACAGAAACGTATCAACCTTCATTTCAGCACCTCTAGCACACATTATTTAGAGTGGACATTGGAAAGAATTAAGCGAGGCTGTCTACTCTAAACTCTGCTGTTTACATTCAGCTGCCTTGGACTGATTTGCCTTTTCAGTGAAGAATGCAGTATGAATTCTTAAAGTAAAGGGAATTTCCTCTTTTGGTGTAAATTATGAATGAAATTGTCAAATACAGAAGCCTTCACATAGTAATATGTTTTTGTGATGCTGTAAACTACAGTTTTAACCTTTATTTTTAGAGTACTTTTAAAACTTCTGGTCACAGCAGTTTATTTAGCCAGTGCAAAAAAACACTAAACAACTTTTAAGAGATTTTTTTCCCATATAATTTGATGCCTTTATATGTCTAACAGAGCCTTTTTATTGAATTATTTTGAATACACACAGATACATAAAACACTATCATTCCCCCAATACTGCATAGTTGTTAATTTCAGAAATTAAAGTTTTAATATCTGAGCCCATTTTTATACTTATATATATATATACATACAGTGGGTACGGAAAGTATTCAGACCCCCTTAAATTTTTCACTCTTTGTTATATTGCAGCCATTTGCTAAAATCATTTAAGTTAATTTTTTTTCCTCATTAATGTACACACAGCAAATACTGAGCATTTTTCAGTTTTTCTTTTTTAATAAATCTGCAAAGATGTCAACAATTCTGTGTTTTTCTGTCAATATGGGGTGCTGTGTGTACATTAATGAGGAAAAAAAATTAACTTAAATGATTTTAGCAAATGGCTGCAATATAACAAAGAGTGAAAAATTTAAGGGGGTCTGAATACTTTCCGTACCCACTGTATATATATATATATATACATAATTTATTTTTTATTTTTTTTAAATTGTCCCAAAATTCAGATAATTGTGTATACTGGTTAAACAGATTACTGTTTTCCCCTCGGTGTTACCTACTAAATTTGAACTTGAATATATTTATGTATTTATTTATTGTTGTTGGGTATAGTTGAATCATTAAAGTAATATAATCTTCACAATGCCGTTTTCACAAATTTGGTAATTTTAAAAGTGCATTTTGGCAAACTAAAAGGCCTTTACATTAAATAAATGCTTCATTCAGGTTTTGTATTTCAAATTATTTTATGTACTGATAGTTCAAGGGAAATTTTCAAATTTCAGTAGGTCAATAAACTACTTACATAATTCTCAGATGTACTGAATTTGTACTGTACTTTGCGAATGGAAAAGTATTGTGTAACGTTCTGCTCTCTTTTCCAGTTCCTCCGTAAGTTTGGGTGAAAGAGTAGACAAGAGCAGCATGGCTGTGAATTGTATTATTTATTTATTTTCGTAAATTATTTAGTCATTTAGTTCCATCTGTATCTTTTCGAATCATATTTAACTCATATTTAAAGAACCAGTCTCGGCTTCCAGGGGCTGATTGCATAAACTGCTTAGACTAGTCTTTTTTTTTTCTGGTCATAACTTGAATAAGTCAGTTACATAAAAACATATTGGTCTAATTTGAATCCAAAAAGTAAGACAGATTATTATCTCTTGGCTAACTACTAGTTGGTTAGACTAGATAAGGCATATGTGGCTGTGTTTATGCAACTTGCCCCAGTTCTCAAAACTTTATATGGCCCTTTGATTGCATTGTTTTTTGTATATCTGTGAATCACATTTGAAAAATATTTTATCTTTCGAGAGCATAGCCCCTCACACATACTGTTCTCTGAAGGCCCCAAATGTGATTTTCATTTACAGCACTATACACAGCATTGAGAGCACAGACACCTACAGTACAGCTTAGTTTTAAGCACCAGTCACCTGCCATCTAGTGGTCACATGAAACTTTACAGCATTCCACTAGATGCACATTACTGTCAGTGCGTAATCTATTCTAAAGAGATGCATACAGTCAATTTTATATTCTATACAAAGAGTCCTATTCACTTGAAATCATATGGCACTGCTAACATGCATGACTGCTGACAAATATCTCTATGTGCCTCATCCACAGAGCAAATGCCAGTTCTTTTTTTTCCAAAAGCTGTCCTGTGCAACTGCTTCCATGGAGAAATCGAGGGGTTTCCACTAAGGTTTCTTCGAGTAAAATTAACCAGTGTGTAAGAGATTAGTTTCAGATCAGCCCACACACTGCCATAAAACAAGTTTAAACCATGTCTGGTATGATTGTATTGTACAAAGTTAAATTCAAACTATTATGTGGCAAAAAAAAGTATCTTATCTTACTTCATCCAAACTTAAGCAGTATACATTGCAAACTTATATGGATGGCTCTACCACAGTCACGTGACTTTTACAGATCGAGTGATTAAAAAATACTTCCACTTCTGTGGAACATTACATGGGGTTCATGGGGTTACATTGTGCCAGTTGAGCAACCACCATTGAGAAAATGCAAACAAAAACAACTTGAAAGCATGAGTATTTACTGTTCCCTTTTCACAGCTATGGTCAGGGCCGTTTCTAGCCATTTTGACGCCAAGGGTCACAAAAACTGGGTCCTGGAGGGCCACTGTCCTGCAGAGTTCAGCTCCAACCCTAATTAAACACACCTGAACCAGCTAATCAAGGTCTTACTAGGTATACTTGAAACTTCTAAGCAGGTGTTGGAGCTAAACTCTGCAGGACACCGGCCCTCCAGGAATTGAGTTTTACACCCCTGCCCTAGGCGAAATACCTATTCCTAGTCCCCTTTAAATGACGCGACGCTCTGCCCTCTGTGTGTATGACGCTGCTCCCATTAAGTGCTGTTAGAAGCGAATTAATTGATTCAGCATTTCAACACTTCTTTAAGGATGCGTTTAAATAAAAAATTTGGGCAGAGTAGCGCTTGTTGTTTGTCATTTCTCCGATCACAAATGCAGAAATGGTTTTATGTTTACGCGGCGCGATGCAACGCGTAAAAAGACAGTATAAGTCATTATAATCCGTAATTATGTCCCCACTGGATGCAACGAATGCCTAGTTTATAATGGGTTTTCATGTTTTTGTCTGGTCGCTCCGGCCGGACAGGGCATCACAATATGGTGAGGGGCGTAACATTTCCGTCACACGCTTGAGGTATTCAGCCAATCACAACGCACTGGATAGCTGGCCAATCAGAGCACACCTCGCTTTTTCAGAACGATGAGCTTTGTAAAAATCGACGCGTTTCAGAAAGGCGGGGCATAGAGGAGAAACAATAATGTACAGTATGTGGAAAATAATGTGTTTTTTTAACCTTAAACCGCATAAACACATTTCATTACACCAAATACACCAAATAATGTTCTTTTTATCATCATCATATGACCCCTTTAAGCACTCTCTCTCTCTCTCTCTCTCTCTCTCTCTCTGTGTGTTGTATTGCCTCTACAATACACACTGTGCGATATTAAGCTATCAACCCATTTCGTGATTTGACCAGCGTGATTTATCGACTGCCACAAATACTGACCTAACAAAATACTGATTTTGCTGTCCCAGTTTTTTTAATTGCCTTTGAACGTAGCTTTATTGCATGATAAAAAAAATTAAAAAAAAGAGAGAGAGAGAGAAAATGCTCCGGTTGGGAAACACTGCCCTAGCCCAATAGTATTGGGGTATTCAGTGGGGGCGGCAATCATATTTCAGGGTGGCCGTGCCACTTCACAACTCTGCTAAAATATAGCGCCAGAATATGCGCTCATTGGCGCCCCCTCCTGCTGGTGGCCAGTCGACCGCTTTACCTATGCCTAGAAACGGACTGTGATGATGATGGTGAAGTTATTCTAAAGCAATAAGCAGAACTGAATCGCTTATTTTATGTTGCGGAGTTCAGCAGATGTTTTGATCCAGCAACACGTTTTTTGTTTCATGTTAGTTTTGTGTGCCTCGCGCCTCGGACTCCTGCAGCTCTCCGCCCCTCCGGACTCGCTCGTTCAGCGCGCTTCCAGCAGAGCTCACTGTGTGTCGCAGGGCGAGAGGATGACGGCTCGAGTGTGCAGCTCGACGGTGAGTGTGCTGTTATTGTGTCTGTCTGGATGTTTGACCACAACAGACGCGGCTCCAGGGCGGAACTGCACAGGTGAGAAGATCCATGTTCCTTTAGCTCATTTAGCTTCAGCCCGAAGACATGCATAAACGTACCTGACAAAATATGACATTAGACACAGTGTTGCCAACTAATTTTCAGGGGAAGTTGCTAAAGGAAGGTTGATTTGTTGCTAAAAGTTGCTAAATGATGTTGTGATGACATTGCGTGATGACGTCATTACGTAATCACGATGCAAAATTGTGTCAAATCTAAGCTACTAACAAGGTGTATCATAAATGAACAATTATTAAATTATTATTATTATCAAATCAAATAACTGCAAATAGCAATAACTTAATTCACGTGATGTTGTGTACTGCTAGGCATCTTTGGTTTCCTCTTTTTGTGTAATTTAAATGGTAAATTGTGCCTTTTTATCATTTGAGTCACTTATCAAAAGTTGCTAAAAGCTGCCAAATAATTTTTTTTTTTAAATTGCTACATTTGTTGCTAGGTGCTTTTGGAAGAAAAAGTTGCTAGGGTAGTCTGAAAAGTTGCTAAATTTAGCAACAAAATTGCTAAGTTGGCAACACTGATTAGACATACAGTACAGACGTCCAGTGAAAGGTGAACTATCTACATTCTTTCAGATTAAATACATAAATTCTCAAAAATTATATTTTTTTATTTTTACAGAATATTAATATTAACATGGTTACGATTTATTTATTTATTTATTTATTTTTACCAGAGATGTAATGCCACCATTCCTGGAAACAAATTCTTCGAAATGTTTTGTATTTTAACTCCCTTATAATTAACTATAAGGGACTTAATTATAACTTCTAACTCTTTAAAGAACTACTGTACTCTGCTATTTGTTCTTCAATAAAAGTCTGATGGGTTTATTGTATTCAGTCTATTAACTCAAAATGTTTCTACATTTTTTTGTAAAGATTGTTTGTTTGAATCAAAATGCTTAAGATGAAATACTGCAATGGCAGCCATGAGGATGGCATAACAGTTCATTTGAACACATACATTTGGTTTCAATAGTAAATTCATGAACAAAATATAAATTGATGTCCACTTAGAAATTGCTAGTAAATTTCAGCCAATAATTACAAAAAAATGTGTCATTTAATTCAAACATTGAATTAAATGTGAAATTTTCAAGTAGAAAGACTGAAACAGTATTTTCTTGTAAAACATATTCCAATAATCATACTTCAATTTACAACTTCATATATATACATACAGTAAGGCATATATATATATAGAATATGTATATATACAGTAAGGCATTCAGCATGCAGTGGTATAGTTTCTCTGTCATGTATCTGTATAACAGCAAAGCCAGGAGTGTGTCCACGCAGAAAATTTGGAGCAGGAATGTGTGCTGAGTTCTGTGTCAATGACAGTGACTGTCCGAACAATGAGAAATGCTGCAGCAATGGATGTGGACATGAATGTATGGCTCCATATACAGGTATATTATATTATATTATATTATATATTGTTTCGGTCAGCTTTCTCATGGCATTTTATAATAAGTATTATTATATTATATTATATTAATGTTTCGGTCAGCTTTCTCATGGCCTCTCAGTTTGTGTCTTATTTTATAATAAGTATTATTTAATGTTATTATGTTGTTATACAGTTAGGAACTTTATTTATTTTTTTCAGTTGTTTTTTGGGGGCAGCTTTCCCATTGCCTTTCAGTTTGTGTTTTATTTTCAGTCTATTAACTCAAAATGTTTCTACATTTTTTTGTAAAGATTGTTTGTTTGAATCAAAATGCTTAAGATGAAATACTGCAATGGCAGCCATGAGGATGGCATAACAGTTCATTTGAACACATACATTTGGTTTCAATAGTAAATTCATGAACAAAATATAAATTGATGTCCACTTAGAAATTGCTAGTAAATTTCAGCCAATAATTACAAAAAAATGTGTCATTTAATTCAAACATTGAATTAAATGTGAAATTTTCAAGTAGAAAGACTGAAACAGTATTTTCTTGTAAAACATATTCCAATAATCATACTTCAATTTACAACTTCGAAAAATTATTTTTGAACGTGTAGGTTGTAAAAGCACCTTGTATTTGAAGCTAGCTGACAAAGTTTAGGCATAAATAGTAGATTTATGAACTACTTCAATTTGAAGCAGATATGTGAATATGTTTTTAAAGTTTGAGACACATAATGGAAAACCACTGACTTACAGATGCTGAAGCAAACTCTTACATCACTCCCTGACCTCTCTTATAATGCTGCTCTTCTGTAGTGGTGGGTCACTGTCCGGCGAAGCTGACGGTCGTGCCGTCCAGTCGGGGATGTGTTTCTGATAAAGACTGCTCTGGAGGACACAAATGCTGTGTCTTTGACTGCGGGGCTGTGTGTGTGCCACCTGCTTTCAGTAAGAAACAGCAAGTAACACATTGCATTAAACATTACATTTCGTTGAAAGGCTGAAATAGTATATATATATATATATATATATATATATATATATATATACATACAGTAAGGCATATATATATATAGAATATGTATATATACAGTAAGGCATTCAGCATGCAGTGGTATAGTTTCTCTGTCATGTATCTGTATAACAGCAAAGCCAGGAGTGTGTCCACGCAGAAAATTTGGAGCAGGAATGTGTGCTGAGTTCTGTGTCAATGACAGTGACTGTCCGAACAATGAGAAATGCTGCAGCAATGGATGTGGACATGAATGTATGGCTCCATATACAGGTATATTATATTATATTATATTATATATTGTTTCGGTCAGCTTTCTCATGGCATTTTATAATAAGTATTATTATATTATATTATATTAATGTTTCGGTCAGCTTTCTCATGGCCTCTCAGTTTGTGTCTTATTTTATAATAAGTATTATTTAATGTTATTATGTTGTTATACAGTTAGGAATTTTATTTATTTTTTTCAGTTGTTTTTTGGGGGCAGCTTTCCCATTGCCTTTCAGTTTGTGTTTTATTTTATTTAATCATTTTTACATATTATATATAATATAGCACTATTCCAGACACAGGGTGGCTTTACAAAATGAATAAACATGAAATAATACTTAGTACAATTCACTCTGTAAGTAAAATGATGTTGCTTTGAGTGTTTTGTGCAGTATATCTGAGACTGAACACTGTTTGTCTGTGTCCATGCAGTGAAGCCTGGTCGATGTGCTCTACCGAAGGGGACTCCGATGTGTGCAGAATACTGTTACCATGATGGCCAGTGTCCTGCTGAACAGAAATGTTGCCCAACCACCTGTGGACATGCATGCAGTGAACCGTGCTGATTTAACCATCGGAAAGAGTCTTTGGTGGATTAATTTTGCATAATAATACATACTTTTTTTTTTTTTTGCCATTTAGTGCTTTATTCATAGAGGTTGTTTTCCTCATTTATAACCACCAAATAAACCTCATAGTTTCAGTAAACCTTCCAGTGGTTGTGTATTTTTGGCCACGAAATAACAAAGAAAATAGCTTCACTGAAGAGTTGGTATTTTTGGTATGCCAGTGTTCGTTTGGCTGTTCTCTTCTCACATAACAGCTCATTGGCATCAGTGCTTAGGAATGTACAAGTTCCCCTCCCCGAGACCCAAACATGTGCAAAAACGTCTTGTAATGAAAGAGACCTCTGTTTCCATCCTCTCCAGGAGCTTGGCAGCAAAAGGGTCAAAACAATTGTCAGCAAAAACATGACAGTGATGGAAAAGCTTTGAACTAAAGTACTAACCTACCAGAAATGAAACCGTCAGAGACTGCTGGGTAACACTGCACTTTTAGCAATTTAGTCATGTAAAGAGAGAAGAAGAAAGTGCAAAAATGAAGAGAATTTGTGCTAAACCGAGGTTAATGTGCATCAGCTTCCAGGAATGTGAAAAGACCTTGAATTCTGTCTGGTGGGAAACACATCCTGTGTTTAAGAAACACAACATTTGATTATTCAACATATATTTATATATACACTACCGTTCAAAAGTTTGGTGTGGTTTTTTTTAAAAGAAATTCATACTTTTATTTAGCAAGGTCACTTTAATTTGATTAAAAGATCTATAAACTCAAAAGACATTTATAATGTTGTTCATTTGAACTTTAAGAAATATTTAAGAAATTTTCTTGAGCATCACTTCAGCATATTAGATTTTAAAATCTCTTTAAAAAAAGATTTAAGACTCCAAACTTTTGAATGATGTATATATGAGGTTACTAAAAACAAAATCATTTTTTTATACATATATAAATTCCTTATCTATTTTGTCAGTTGCGTGGCTTCCATTCCTATGGCATGATGTTGTGTAGCACCGTCAACTACAAATCCCATTCATAACTATACATATTCAACATCAAATCTCTTCTGATTGGCTGGGACTGTATCATGTTGCACATCAGTTTCACATTCATTGTGGACGTACAAATTGCTTGTCTTTGGAAATTTGTTTTGTATTGTGCCTAGTTAGGACACATTGTAGCCGACATACTTGAGTCAGCAGTGCCAGGCAAAAACAGGGAAGCTGATGATGTGGTACTTGGATAGTCTGATTTGATCAGTGGTACATTTTAGTTTGACAACCAGTGAGTTACCGCAAATCTCTTCGTTTCAATTTAAGTGCATATGTATGTTACAAATTTCCAAGTCATATAACAGATAACTGAAAGATTTACAATCAGCCAATGTGGAGACTCTTTCACTGAATTCAAACAGAATGGCACAGTTGAGCGGAATGCCAAATAGTTTCCTAAACCCTAAAAAAAAAAAAAATCTTCCGCAAAATCCCTTGAGGCACGAACAAAACATGTTGCACTAAAGAGTCAAACTGTTCTTAACACGTTACGGGTTTCCAGTCAGTTTATTATGGGAAAGTTAACCAGTGTTAAAGATCTTCAGAATTTTAATTCAATAACACCCAATCTGGAGGTCATTATGTGGTGAGGCAAGACAAAAAGACAAAACAATAAAAACAGTCCAATCTTTCAAAACCACACATATTTAAATATCAGTGCATTACATTACGTGGAAAATATTTGCCACATTCTTAGACGTCCAGTTTCAGTAGTTGGATTGTAGTGTCTGTGTTTCTGTGAGGCTTGGTACACCGAGACGACTTAACATCATGCTCTTCCATCTATATTTCTCCCAGATGCCCGAACCATGCAGTTCCTTTAAGAAATGTTCATGTGACAGCAAGCTATCGTTTTCTAGAACAACATTGCAAAAATGTCTTTGCTTATGTGACTCACAAAACAAAACAGTGGCTAATCTTTGCATATGTGACTCTGAAAACAAAAAAACAAAAAACAAAGGTGGCTAATCTTTGCTAATGTGACAAAACAGTGGCTAATCTTTGCATATGTGACTCTGAAAACAAAAAAACTAATCAAAACAAAGGTGGATAATCTTTGCTAATGTGACAAACAAAACAGTGGCTAATCTTTGCTTATGTGACTCAGAAAACACACAAAACAAGAATCAAAACGGTGGCTAATCTTTTGCTTATGTGACTCACAAAACAAAACAAAACGGTGGCTAATCTTTTGCTTATGTGACTCACAAAACAAAACAAAAACAAAACAAAACAAAGGTGGCTAATCTTTGCTTATGTGACTCACAAAACAAAACAAAACAGTGGCTAATCTTTTGCTTATGTGACTCACAAAACAAAAACAAAACAAAGGTGGCTAATCTTTGCTTATGTGACTCACAAAACAAAACAAAACAGTGGCTAATCTTTTGCTTATGTGACTCACAAAACAAAAACAAAACAAAGGTGGCTAATCTTTGCTTATGTGACTCACAAAACAAAACAAAAACAAAAAACAAAACAGTGGCTAATCTTTTGCTTATGTGACTCACAAAACAAAACAAAAACAAAAGTGGCTAATCTTTACTTATGCGACTCACAAAACAAAACATAAAAAGGAGGCTAATCCATTTTGGTAGCTCATTTGTTCAACAGAAGTTCAGAACAGTCACTTGGCATCGAGTCCTTCCAGACCTGAAAAGCATCTTAAAACTTCAGCAGCTGCCGTTTAAGCATCACGATTCTCTCTGCTTCCTAATATGGACATTTAAGGTGCCAGACCTGCTCTCAGCAGTTTAGGCCAGCAGTGGCACTCCCCTTATGCGACGGATGAAGTTGGCCAATCGTTTTGCCAGCGGTGGACTCGGTTCATCCACCTGGAAGGTGCGGGTCAGCAAGTTGTAAAAAGAGCCGTAGCCCACCGCGACCACCGTGCAGGTGAGGCATATGACGTTGTAGGGCATGCTGAAGTCAGGCGTGGGTAGATTTACCAGCAGTGGTTCGGTATACACTCGCACAAAGTAGCTTGATTCTTCTTTGACTGGGACACTGGAAGTCAGAGGTGAAATGTTATAAACAAAGAAAACAAATAAGGTACACTTATTTACTATTAAAGAAATAGTTCACCCAAAAACGAACATTTTCTGTAAATTTACTCACCCTCAGGCCATCCAAGATGTAGATGAGTTTGTTTCTTCATCAGATTTGGAGAAATGTAGCATTACATCACTTGCTCACCAGTGGATCCTCTGCAGTAAATGGGTGCCGTCAGAACGAGAGTCCAAACAGCTGATAAAAAATATCACAATAATCCACAAGTAATCCACACCACTCCAGTCCATCAGTTAATGTCTTGAGAAGCCAAAAGCTGCTTGTTTGTAATAAATTCATTATTAAAAATGTTTTACTTTTTATAAAAATACCAGTCCATAATAACTAGGGCTGGGCAAAAAAAATTTCGATTTTTCGATTAATCGTTTTTTTAAATGACTTCGATTCGATATCGATTCTCAAAAGCCGCGAATTGATCTTTTCCAGTATTTATTTCAGCACACATTTAAAACAAGATCTGATTAATGTGAATCTTATCATTAGTCTTCTCCACTAGATGTCACCCTTATTTACCTTGTGCGATGTTACAACAGAAAGCCTGTCAAAGTCATTCATTCAGCGCTTATCATGGCCATACGCG